GGCGTACGCCATTTCCGCCTTTTGGCTGTATGTTCACTTTTAGTATGGTTTCCACGCAATCCTTTATAAATGAGACCTCTGGTCCTCGAGTTCCACTATCCTATATGTTTCAGATGTTTTTGCAGAACTTGAGAAGGGAAACAGTTAAAACGTTCAGGACCGTGGAGCTCGAGGTCCAGGATTGGGCACCGCTGGTTTAAATCTGTCTTATTTGTTCAGATTTGCCTCCAGCTCTGAGTCCCTCTGAATGTGWTGTTTTTGTTTTTRTTTTTCTCTCTCCTGCAGGTGCTGTTGTTTCTTCAAGAGGAGAAAGAGGAAAGCTCTCCAGAGGCACAAGTGAAGGAAGAATCTGGAGAGAACTTGAAACATTGTGGTCACTGTCGAGTTTTAAATGAAAGCAACTACACGACCCCTCCTCCCACCCCCACCCCAAAAGGCCCTTCTTTTATTCCAGCTCCCCCCTTACACCCCTTCATCCTCTCACCGTCTCCCCCCACCCCGTCACCATGCCCCGCCCTCTTCGCGCTCTGTCTTTCTCGTTCTCAGCGCTCCCCGGCTGCCGCCGAGTTGAAGGAATGTCGCAGACCTACTGACTCTACGAGAGACTCCTTGAATCTTTTATCGACGAAAAACAAAAATAACTAAAAGTACCTTGCATTACAACAGGGAGGGGGTGGGGCRGGGGCCTGAGATAAAGTATAAAAGCTGTAACGATGAAACTCAGAATGCCTGGGCGTGAACACGGGGGGAAACAAAACGATGCTGTTTGAAGCAGCCGTGTTCCAGATTCCATACAGACCGAGCGTTTGTCCGAACAGCCYGCTGTTCATCAGGGGAACCCATTTAAAGTGGATCGAGTGAAAGGAATCTGCTCCGTAGGAAAAAAAAAAGTTCATTTTCTTTTCTCTTTTTTTTTCGGTGTGTTTTGGGATCAAGGTGAGGTTTGCTGATGTTGAATCCGAGAGACGCAGGAAGCATTTCATCTATAAAAACAGAACTTGGAAGATTTTTTTATGTACTCCCCCCCCATTTTTTTTTCTTTTTGAAAGCGAATCCTCAGTTTTCAAAGTCAAATCCCTACATTGAAAACTTCTTTTCATGTTGTAGTGTTCTGGAGTTCAATTCTTTTCTCATTTTGATTCTTTTTTTTGTTCTTCAACATGGTGTTTGTAGCACAGTCACTGGCCTCAGGTACTGTGGAAGAGATGAGAGAAACGGATATTTTTATTGCACTTTTGAGGGGGAAAATACATTTACAGTGAGAACTTTAGGTTTAAAATTAACAGTTAAGCAAACGACTTAATAAAGACTGATCTAGGAGTCCTTCAACGCTTATATATCGTTATGGCTGAAAAAAAATGTTGATTTACACGAGAGAAAAAAAGAAAAAAAAAGTTTTGATTTTTCTTACATCTAAATAATTTACCAAGAAATCATAGTTTGTGCCTTTTTTTAAGTAAAATGTTTAAAAGCTCAAGTGAGTGTCCCGCTATGACATTTTATCTAATCTGACCCAAAAGCTCAGTGGATTCTTGTGTGTCTGTGAGGGTGTGTGTGTGTGTGTGTGTGTGCGTGCGAGTGTTTGCTAATCCACAAGTTGTAAGCAAATCTGTGAAATCCACATCCCTTCTCCTTTACCATTCTCCCACCTTGGGCTGCTGTGACGGCACACCTACACGGCGGTGACGCTTTAGTCTCGACAGGAGGCTGGGATGTGTGTGCGTGCGAGTGTTTGCTAATCCACAAGTTGTAAGCAAATCTGTGAAATCCACATCCCTTCTCCTTTACCATTCTCCCACCTTGGGCTGCTGTGACGGCACACCTACACGGCGGTGACGCTTTAGTCTCGACAGGAGGCTGGGATGTGTGTGCGTGCGTATGCGTGTGTGTTTCCAGCTCAAAGAGATCTAACACACAAAAGAAAAAAAAAAGCCCAAATCTGTTAAGTTGTGTGTTATTTCATCTGGATGTCACCAAGAGACGAGAAGTTCAGAGAGATTTATTTGTTCGAAGTGTCTCTGAAGTGGCTGAGGTCCTGTTTCTGTTCAAATAGTAGACGATTAGTAAACCTATTTTTATGCTTCGAGCTCCTTTGTGCTGCAGACAGATGTAGTTTCAAGCCGTTTAATGCTTTATTTTTCTTTTGCCCCTCGGTGTCTACGAGTTTGCACTGTTTCCAGTAACGCTTAAACTCCACCTAAAAGCTCGTCGGCGATCGAAAGTGACAAATTGGAGCCCCCCTCCGAGTTAATTCTGGGAGATCGTTCCTCCTTAAACAGATGCGAGAAGATAAAATATCTTTATTTTTTAAAGACACCACTTCCAGCTCTTTACCAGGTTTAGTTCAAATCCTTTAACTTTTCTTGTTTCTAAGAGCTTTTTAATGGACTGATTATTGAACAGTATAAATCTTAGAGGTAAAACAAGAATGCACAAAAAGAACCCCCAAAGAAAACTAAAGTGTCCTGTACAAATATGGGTCATAAAAGATGAGAAATTATCTAGACGTGGTAGGAAAACTGAGCAGAAACCGTAAAAACTCTTTTAAGATCCGGGAGTTTAATTTCCGAGTTTTGTCTGATTTGTGTCTCCCTAAGATCCTGATTGGATCCCATTAATCCATAATCTGTCAATGATAATCCATTGCTATAATTTTGGGTTAACTTATTGCACAGAACTGACCGGCCTATATAGTATATATATATATATTTTTTTTTCCCAAGTTAGAAAAAGTACAAACTGGTATAAATTCAGCTGCATTACGTTCTGAATGTTTTAACGAAATTTAAGAGCTGGTGGCAGTTTTAGTGTAAATTAGTTTTTTTTTTATAACGTTTCGCACAAACTCAGTTGTGTCATAAAACTACATCATCCTCATCTGGCTTTTGCTGACAAGATTAGCAGCATTTTTATTTAAAATTTTTTTTGTTAATTAGAAATTTTTCCGTTCTCGTTTGAACCCATCTGGTTTTTTAAGTGGGCAGCAAATTTTTAATGTTTATTTTTATTATTTTTTTGCTCCTCTAAGCAGGTTTTAGAGGACCAAAGATCCGAGAAGAAGCGGCCGTGTGCGAGAAGCGCACCGTAACTCGAGTTTCCCCGAATGCCCTTCATAGCTACGACTTAGACGATATAAGGCGTGTACACTGCGGAGCTTTCTGTTCGTCGCTGTTTAATACCACGTCTGCAGTCAGACGAGGATCGTGGAGACAACGCGTTCGAGAGGGGGCGTCCCTGGATCCAACGCGCCTTTTTAACAGCAGGGAAGCACTCGTTGGGCGCATCGAACTGTTCCACTGAAAACTGAATCGGTTCAGCCGAGCAGCAGGGAGACCCGGCTTCATTACACTGCGTTTATTATGTGATTTCTAACCTTGGGGGGGGAGTGAGTGAGTGAGTTCTGGAGATGTTCAGACCAGTGTTGAACTGTGCTTCTGCTCTACGTCTCTTGGTGTAACTCTTTGCAACATGTATTTGTAAATATGACAACGACAGATCTCTAATTGTGAATAAAGGAAGTTTTATCACAGCCTGTGCCTGCTGGATCGGTCTTTGTCAGTCCAGAAGAAAAACCCTGCAAGTACCAGCCCTGCATTTAAAACTTGTCTTGGTTTATTTTCTGGACTTTCTGGTGCACCATGAATGAATTCCCTTCCATGTTTCTGTCACCTGACGTTCTGATTGGCTACACGTCACATTCAACAGGCTGTGAGCTCGTTGGGGGGACACCACACACTCTGGGAAACTGAGCCAAGGCAATCCGACATTGAATATATTCGATTTGAGTTTGGAGTTGTCCAGATGTCCTTCTGAGCAGATTAGATCACTCATAACACACCACACATGGCAGGAATATCTTCTAAGATCATCTTTAGAAACCATCACAATAAAAGGGCCGTCAAAATGGCAAAATTGAGTCAATCAGTGTAATTATTTCATTGTGAACCAGTTATAATGGACAAGTAACAAAGATGCGTTCTTATAAGCAGTCAAATTAATCCTGTTTCCTGTCATATGAGGGTGTTTTACCAGTCTAGGGACTTTGATAAATGTGCTGCCCGATCCCAGTAGTACGTGGGTCAGGTTTTTTTTTTTTTTTGGGGGGGTTTCACTCGTTATGCTTACCCTCCGCTTAGCATTTCGAAATCCATCTTAAGATTTTATCTAGTTTGTCTGCTTTCGTTTGAAAAAATCTGCGAAATTGTGACATGCACTATGTCTACGGAGCTCCGCACTTTTTTATGTTATAATGGAAGTCAATGGAGCACTTGCTTCCTAATTTTCAGCCTTTAAATATCTCTAAATCCTTAATGGGTGGTCTGATTTTTAAAAACTAAATTGTTTTGGGATCTGTACACAGAGCCTTATGAGTACAAAAAGGAAAAACAGAAAACTTTTATCCAAGTCCCTAATCAGTCTGTGCATTCCAAGTGCAGTATACATTTTTTTTTTTTGGGATACTGAAAAGCACGGTCACTGTTCAGCTAAATGAAGCTTGTCCTGATAAGTTGGTATTTGTAAAAATGATTTTGCATGTAAACTACACGGGGAAGGGGCACCACWTTTTATATAGGTGGGTCATTGCCCCCCTGATGCGTCCTCCTGGTGGCGCCCCTGTGTGAAACAAGTAGAAATGCTGCCCTCTAGCGGCTGCGCAGCGGCGGGAGGTCTGAGCGCGCGGACAGGCGGGGCTTCTCGGCGATTGGAGGGGAACGAGAAGACCGTTTACTCTGACCGAGATAGACGCTTGGAGCAAAGGAAAGCTCACTGAAAGTACCGAAGTTCATCTTAGAAGTCATCCAGGATCGAGTTTATGTTCTGAGAAACCCATAAATCCGAGTCAAACTTTGGTTGGAAGAAGAATTTGATCAGAAAACTCGAACGGACTCTGGTGGTCAAGTGTTCCCCCTCCTCCTCCTCCTCCAGTCCAGCACTCAGGTAAGAAAATCACAAGGTGGAWTAAAGTAGTTCAGATTAAACAGTTTTACGACAAATTACTTATTTTATACTTACAGCCTTTTATGATGTTTTGGGGGTCGTTGCGAATAGAGAGGATGTAAATTAGCGGTAAATAAGGTGTTTTTCAGCGGCAGGTGGGTCGTCTCAAAATGTTGGAGGAAACCTGTCCGAACCAAGGAATCAGTTTTAAACCCAACGACTAGTTAAACATCAGGAACATCACCGAAGATCATTTGGATAAAGTTAAAATACTCTAAGTTTAGGTCAATAAAAGTGGTGTTTTGTTATTTGTATTTATGAGTGACAGAGTGCACGAATTATTAAAGCAGTTATGTTTTAATGTCGACCACTAATGAGTGATTAATTAAAGTCTGGAGGCAGTTTGTTTATTTTTACCTGGGTAAACAGGTGGATTCAGAACCACAGAAGACCAGCAGCACTTTAATTATAACTTTTAARTGTTGAATTTTAATGAAACACTGAAAGTAATGACTGGTGATCACCTACAGCTGATTTTAGTCAACACTTTTGAAGATGGCCGCCACTGCAACACAAAAATAGCAACAACCCAGAAATAATCTTTATTATAACATTTGTATATTTGTATCTGCCTTTATCATTACTGTTAAATTAGTTGTTGAAACTAAAATAACATGAGCTGAAAGCTAAAAGAAAAAAAAACTCGCAATAAGGAGCAAAAATACCAGCTAAAGGGATAAAAAAATGCTATCTAAAAATCAGAAGTAGCTAAAAGGAGCAAAAATATGGTCATAAGTTAAGGTAACATAACACCAGCAAAGCAATAACTGTAGATGGCTAAATAAAAACAAAAACTAAAGAGTGCAAATTACTTATAAAAGCTAAAACAAGCAAAAGATAGCTAAAAGACAAATTGTTAAAAAAAAGTTCAAAGCTTGCAAAATACTAGCTAAAATTAGAGGGCTAGTGAAAAGTTAAAAAAATAGTTAAAAGCACAGCTAAAAGTAACAAAACACTAAAGCAAAAGCACAAAAGCAGCTAAATGCTAGCTACTAGCAAAAATGCTAATTAAAAGTTCAAAGTATCAAAAGACGAGCTTAAAGTAGCTTACAAGGAAAAAAACTACTTAAATGAAAATGTTTCAAAGGATTTGAAGATATATCAACATATTTCAATGAGAAGTCCTGATGCATCTCAGTTATCCAGGTAAAAAATCAAAAAGAAAAAAAAATTGTATAGGTCTTCTGGACGGGTTCTTCTCTAATGAAACGTTTCGTCTCTCCTCCAAGAGACTTCTTCAGTCTGAGAGTTTCAGGCAAAATTCAGGCTTTTGAGCACTGCCTCCATGTGACTGATACGGATGTGAGTATCAGTCACATGGAGGCAGTGCTCAAAAGCCTGTGAAAATCAGTCACATGGAGGCAGGGCTTAAAAGCCTGTGAGTATCAGTCACATGGAGGCAGTGCTTAAAAGCCTGTGAA